CCCCCACCTACCCCCTTCCCCTGCCTCCGCCTTTCCCGCTGACCTGACTCCTCCGGTGAAGGGCAGCGTCCCACATTCCCAGATGAACATCCACCCACCCTGGTGTTGCAAAGCCAAGTAGAACTGACCCTTTGTGGGCTTTCAATCCTCCTGGCAGCACGCCTGGCCCGGCCCTGTGGGTCCTTCCCAGATGAACTTTCCAGCCACTGGCCCCCCAGCCCTTGGAGTTGCAGTTGGAGTAGGCTCCGTGCTCTCTGGGCTGCCGGGACAGAAGGTGGAGGTTCAGGAGGCTGAGATTCTTCCCGAAGCAGTCCCACATGTGCGGGCGAAGTGAGCCGCAGCGGGCACCTGAGACAGTTTTGTAGCAACCTCCCTGATCTCGGGGATGAGGTGCTGAGGGGCACGGTGCTCCCGGGGACAAGCTCTGTGCTTCTAGAGGTGGGGGAGGCAGCGGTGGTTAACCAGCTGGGCCTGCCTCATTGCAATGGAAGAGAGAAGTCACAGAGGGGCGGGTCAGCCCTTCCCAGGTCTCATGCCTGGTGTTGGCTTCTACCACAGCATGGGGGTGGGGAGAATGATTTGCAAGCTGTGAATGGCCCGGTGGGCGACGTCTCTTTCAGCAAACCCTGTGGGCATGGAGGTGTCACTTGGTGAACATGTGTGCACTGGGGTTGTTGGCCCAGTGCTGCACGAAGGCCATTCTCCAGCCCCCTTAGTTAGCAGGAGCCGCGGGCTGGCCTGGCCTCTCCTCTGCGGCCGCTGGGGAAGGCCTGCACGACCTTCTTTTCTCATTAAAACATAAGTGAACTCCCGTTTGGTGACTGCTCTTCGAGGGTACATTACGGTTATCAAACACTCCCTGTTAGGAGGGTTCACGCCCCTCTCTCCTAACTTGCTGCAAGTTCAGAAATGCCTCTCCGGCTTGCAGTCGAGGTGGGAATTCGGGCTCAGTGCCTTGAAAGTGAGGCCAGGGCGTGTTCAGCTGAGCTCCTCTCGTGCGCTCGCTGGGCCGAGTTCTATAGGGCGAGTACGGGAGGACCTCAAAGTTATACTTTCTTTCCTTTGTTATCCAGAGGCTTCCGTATGGCAGAGACACGTAAAGATATGAAACAGAGAGTGATTTGCTTAGACCGTTCACAGCTGAAGTGAGCAGTTAGGTTGTCATGTTCGAAGTCGAGTCCCAAGTGATGGCAGACGCACAGGCGTGCCCCTGTGAGACGTGGGGTGTCCTGGGTTTTGTGGTGTTTTCTGTGTGGCTGAAGAGCTGGGGAGATTGTCTCGGGGTGGGGTGAGATATCCTGAGGACTTGGAAGGTTCTGGTGTCCTGGCCTAGCTCCCGGGTCTCCCCCCAACCCCCACCACCCTGCCAACTTTATTTTTTTCTGAGTTATTCGATTTGATCGCTGCACATGTGACCACATGTATGTGTAGGTAGGAGACAGTTTCTTGGTCCCTTTTTCCCGGACAACTCGTGGTTCCCAGGTCCCAATTCCCCTGCAGACTTCAGAAACTCTAGGTCCAGAGTGCCTCGAGGCCATCCTTTTTTATTTATTTTTATTCCTAGAGAGATTTTTGCTATAAAGCATGTATGCTCGCTGGAGACAGAGAGACAGAGACAGACAGAAAACAAAAAATCACACCCCCCTGGGGGATGGCCACTCTGCAGTCTCTTCTCTTCCATTCTCCTCTCGGGATCTTAGGCATGCATGCACATGCACCCAGTGTGTTTTAAGCCACTGGCTCTGGAACTCGAACCATGGTCAGCCAGGTGGGAGCCCAGTGACGTAACCATTATGCCTTATGCTGGTCCCATGGGCCATCCATTCTCGGACCCTCTGCTGGACTGAGCCATGGCTGACCAGGCCAGGCTGGGACCCTTTCTCACACGCTCGCTCCCCCGTTGCTCCCTAGGGGCTGGGTGAGGAACAGAGCAGTCTTTGCTGACAGACCATCCTGGTTTGCCTGGGACGCTCCCAGTTTTAGCCCCAAAGTCCTGGGCCCCAGGAATCCCTTCGAGCCTAGGAAGATGTTTTCTCACCCTCAACACCACAGAGACGCGTGGGCCGAGAAGGGAGAGCTGACTAATAACTCTCACTGCGCAGGGTCCTGGTGATCGCACTCACATGAAATGGTGCAAAAAGGAGTTTCAAGGATAACTGTACATCTTACACCCACTTGAGGCTTGTTAAATGCTTCCACGAGTTCTTTGGAATGTTGAAAGTGCTGTTTCTTTTTCTCAACGCGAAGTGTTTCTGACAGCTCTGTGGTGGGCGGCATCGTTGCTGTTCCCACTGTGACCACTGGGTGGCAGTGTGGCTCTGCAGAGCGCGGCCGGTGCCTGCAGTGGCAGCGGCGTTTGGGGTGGCTGTCTCCCAGGTGTCGTTTCGGGAGAGGTGCAATGGTGGCTTAGTAATCAGGCAGAACAGCGTTGGCTTTGCCCACTCAGGAAGCTTGCATTCAGCCCCCATTCACCTACACGGAGATAACTCTGCCGCTGCCGCTGGGGCCTAGTTCCCCAGACCGCATGGCAGGGGTGCCCGGCTGTCTGGCTGGCTGTCCCCGTGCTGCGTCTGTGGCCCCCTGGCTGTGCTTTCCCTTCCTTCTCACTTTTCTTCCTCACCTCCCCAGTGCATTGTGCATAGGTATTTCCGTTTATCGTTGCACTCATCTTTCCCAGAGATCCAACCCCTTTGACGTCATTCTCAGCCCTGGTGTCTAAGAACTCGAGGAGACGTCGTAGGTCATCCTGCACTGAATAATGTCCCGCGTCAGAACTCGGGCTGCACAGACGTGAAACAAAACAACGACCGAAAGAGAGTGCTTTTACGAAGAAAATACTCCTTTGTTTGATCTGATCCTGGTCTCTAGTTTCCCTGAGTTGCCCCAAAGCCTAGAGTCCAGGCTTTGTGTCTGGGATGGCAAAGGTGGGGCTTCCTGTCCAAGCTGTTTCCTGGTAGCCTGGGTGTCCTAGGCCTCCCCAGATCACTCAGGAGCCACCAAAGCCCACCCTTAGAGGCTGGTGGGTGGGAGTCACCCTCCCGTGAGGCTGACAGCTCTGGCTTCTGCAGCTGTGGCCCTTGAGCCTTTGTTTCACTCTTACCCTGAGCTACTCGGGCAAGGAAGTTCTCCGTCCTGGCTGCCAGGCAGGCCGGCCTCTCTTCTGCACGGGTTCTCTGGGAACTGTGCCTCAACCCGTCGGCCAGGCCCTCTAAGAACAAGGTGGGAGAGGAGACGTCCTACCCAAGGAGCCCCACCCACCTCGATGTCCCGGAGAGCCGAGACCTCTGTATTATTTCTCATTTTGTTCCCTAAGGACTCCGAATATCTTTAATACCAATTAAACACCTCCTCTGCCCTAACGACATAGCCAAGTATAATATTAACTGACATCAGAGAGGCTGTTTTTCTTTTTCTTTCTTTCTTTTTTTTTTGAAGAAGGAGGGCTTGAGATATTAGTTAAACATCTATCAAAACTTTTCTGTTTATGTTGAGAAGCCCAGTAAAGTGGGAATCTGAATAATGATTTGGGGAGTTTTGACAAGGAGAGAGCTCATTTGGGTTGGCTCAAGCCCAGACAACTGTCCCTTTCACCAGCCGTTTGGTCCCGGACGTAACTGGACAGTGACCTAAAATGTCCTTTCCACTTGGGCTCGTCGAGACCAGCCAGGTTGCCAAGTAGCACGGCCCAGGGTCTGTTCTCTTTTCCTTGTAATCTCTCCATTTCCCGTAAGACTTCTGTTTTCAAAACCCCTTGAACTTTCCTTAGCTTGGCAATACGCCACAAAATCAACTGAGAGAGGAAGTCTCCACGTGGAGTAGATGTTCCGGAGGGAAGCAGGCGTCTCCAAAGATGGCGGGCAGCAAGGGAGGCTAAGCAGTGCCCTGGCAGCCCCCGGGCTCTGGGAGGGGCAAGCTGACACTTGGTCGTCCCCACATGGCGACGGCTGCTCGCGCTGTAGCCCTCCACCTCGCCTCTTCCCGTCTGGAACCTGACTGAGGGCTCCGCGGAGATACTGCGTCTAGCACGGCCACACGGCTGGGCCCGTTGGGCGGCATCTGATCGATAGAGCTCCCTTCGTTCCAGCAGGTCACGTTAGGACTTACGGTGCCCTACCCCTAACCAGCGCTCACTTGTGATCTTGCCTTTCCAGAATGGACTTCGATGACGAAGATGGCGAAGGGCCCAGCAAATTCTCTAGGTAAGTTCGTTTGACTTTCCGCAGATTGGGAGAAGCCGGTGGGCAACAGTCGCCTCGCTGGAGTATGCAGAGGTTCGCGTCCCTGGTCGGAGACAGCCACTGTCTGCAGTCGGGCTCTCGTGTTTTCTGTCTGTGCAGTCGTCTGGCCCAGGGGAGCCTCGGTGATCAGAGCTCAGCGCCAAGTTCGTCCCTACTGCCTTTTTTTTTTTTTTTTTTTTGAGAGATTTTTGCTATAGGGCGCGTGCGCTCACCAGACAGACAGAGAGACAGAAAGCGAGAAATCACCCCCCAGGGGAGATGGCCACGCCGCAATCCCTTCTCCTCCATTCTCCTCTCGGGATCTTGGGCACGCACGCACACGCGCCCGGTGTGAGTTTCAAGCCACCGGGTCCGGGACACGAACCGCGGTCGACTACGTGGGAGTCCAGCGACATAGCCATTACGCTAACTGCTGGTTCCCGTGACTTACTGATTTTGAATGTGATTTCTGGTTTACATGTAATTGATGCGTATCTGTGACTGCCCATTTTAATGGATTCCTTTTAAAAAGATAGACCTAGAGTTGAAGTGGGGGTGGGGTGGGAACCACCTCAAGATCAGCCCTTATTATCTGCTGGCCTGTGAGAAGTGTGAGAAGCCTGGGTGGCCCTTTCCTCGAGCCAGGCCATAGAGTTGAAGTGGGGGTGGGGTGGGAACCACCTCAAGATCAGCCCTTATTATCTGCTGGCCTGTGAGAAGACTGGGTGGCCCTTTCCTCGATCCAGGCCATCAAACTCGGCTCTGAGTCCCTGAGACCCGCATCACTCACCGGCCACGCGAGAGCATCTTGACCTGGACTCCGGGGGGCTGTTCTCAGGGCAGGAAGGGTTCTGGGTCACAGACGCAGGTGGTGTCACACACGTGACACTCGGAGGATAAGGTGGGGTCCCCGGTGACTTCCTTATTTTTTTAAGGTCTTTAGGATGTTTGGCAGTGCTCAGAGGAATGTGCCAGTCATCCCATCATCCTTAACCAAATCCCGTCGTGCTCAGCTTACTTAGGGAAGAGCCTGCCTTGAGATCCACCGCCACAGGCCATGCCTCTGCGCCTGTCTGACTCCTGGTCGTTGGTGAATCTGTCAAGTGACCCCACGTGACCATTGCTTTTCCCTCAGACCCATGGTCCACAGTTCACACCGACAGTCTGAGCTCTCTTCAAATAGGTTCTAGAATGGTGTCCACTCCAAGCCTAGGCCCGCCGAGCTGCCCCGTGGTGGCTCACGCATGCCCGTGGTGGTATTTGGGTTGTAATTCTTCTACATAGACTGTGGTGGTGAATCCAGCACCCTTTGCTGGGAAGTCCAGGAGGAACGCCCATCTTTTTCCTGGACTCCCCACGTGCCTGGTCCATGTCTTGTTCTGTGATAAAATTCCCCCCCCCACCCCCATGGACTTGTCCTTCCACTTCCTGGCCTCAGCTCTGGGAAGGACAGCAGGGAGGAGGTGGAGGACGTTTCGGTCGCCAACAACCTTGGAGTTTCTAATCAGAACAAGACATGAGCTTCACCCACAAAAGCCTGTATTGTTTTTCCCTCAGTGCGGACAGGGCCCAGCCTGGACATCCACCCATGGCTCAGGACACAGCTTAGTAGCAGGAAGTGCCTTGTCCCTGAGAGGGAGCTGGCCCTGAAATAAGGCCACCTGTCTGTCTCCCGGCTTCCTTGGCTGTTGGCCTACACAGCCTCCCTTCATGAGGAAACAAGGGTTCTGGATTCTTTGGTGTCAAAATTCTCCTTGAGATAACATTCCACAGCAGTTACTCCAGGAAATGGTGATTCCTGGGGCCTCCGACATAAAGGGGAGAGGGGATGAGAAGCCACGTTTGTTTGACACTGAGGAGCCGCGTCTGTGTTGAAATCCCCATGCAGGGTACAGAGAGCTCATTATTCAGGCCCGATCAGGAAGAAACAGAAACCTTAGACTCCATGCCACTCTCAGGGCCTGTCAGTGAGTCCGTCTTCCGTGGTCAGAGTTGAGCCCTGGGCTTCTGTGAACCATAGTGTCCCCTGCACGTTAAATACAAGGACGATGAGCCATGCTTCAGCGTACACATTGACGTATAGGGTTAGTCTGGCGGCCCCTGAAGGCCGTTTCATTGATCACAGAAGCGCAGTGGGTGAGCCAGCTGTTGACGGGCCTGTGGTTGCATCTGAGCTGCTCAGAGCTGGGGGGAAGGACTGAGTTCCCCTCCGACCTCTCCACTCTGCCGGTGGTCGTGGCTGCTGTCCAGGGCCGGGGTGTGCTACAGAGCGTGTCCTGCCCACTGGGGCCTGGCACACGCTGGGGTTCCCCTTTGTCCTCCTCTGCTCACAGTCAGTCAAGAGAAGCCCCCTCAGGTGGACACCGGAAGATGAAGGCTGAGGGTCAAGGCAGCACCCGCCCCAGTGTGTTGACCAAGAATCCAGGCAGGGCGCTGGGCCATGGTTTCTGTCCCGAAAGATGTTCCGTCTTCTTTCCATCTAGGGTGGTTCCAAATTCAAGTGCCCTGCCTATTTTCAGAACTCATGTCTCCATGTCTCCAACCCCCCCTGCCTTTTTGTAAGGAGAGATTTTTGCTATAGGGTGTGCATTTGCCAGACAGACAGAAAGGGACAGAGAGACAGTAAACAAGAAGTCACCTCCCCAGGGGCGATGGCCACGCCGCAATCCCTTCTCCTCCTTTCTCCTCTCAGGAGTTTGGGCATGCACGCACATGTGCCTGGTGTGAGCATTAAGCCACCGGGTCCGGGATTCAAACCATGGTCTACTACATGGGAGTCCAGAGACGTAGCCATTATGCCAACTGCTGGCCCCAGTGTCTCCGTTTTGGATTAGGGAACTCTGGTCCTAGTTACATAGGAGCTAAAACACGGCCAGGTTGGTGTGATTCCGACCTTCTCACGCTGGGACGAGGGCGGGGCAGAGCAGGAGACATGACGCTGCCCACTGCTACCTGACCCACACACATGCACGGTACGTGTACACACGCCTTGAGGACCGGAATGCTCACAGGCCTGCCCCGTCCCATCCCAAGGCTTCAGCTCTGTCTCCCACACACAGTGCATGCCTGTGGGGGGCTTTGACATGCAGGACGTGGCTCTGCTGACAGTCATGGGGCCTGGTGGGGCAGAAGCCAGATGGCCGTGGGCTGGGAGAGGAGGAGACGGAGTGGGAGTGACTCTGAGTTTGGATGTGGTAGAAAAGGAGGAGAGCATTTAGGCGTTAGGGATGGAGAATTTTTTTTTTCTTTTTCATAAACTTATTTATTTATGTCTTCTATGAGAAAGAGAGACAGAGATAGAGCAGCACCTCCGGCAGGGTTTTCACAATGTCCACACCCTGTCTTAGCCAGCCCGGATCACGGGCACACATGTGTTACCTGTGTGCTCAGGGACGTTCCAGGACACTCACCCAGGACCTCTCTTGCGTCCAGTTGCGTTAGGATATTGACTATTGATGAGGACAGCGGAAGAGGCCACACCGTGAGTCACCTGCAGCGGGGACAGAGTGGGGCCAGGAAGAGTGGGAGCCGACGGCGTGAGAGAGAGTGAAGGAGCCCACAGACCAGACCGCGGGTGTGGTCAGAGACTCAGCCTAACCCTGGGAGTCGGGGAGGCCTAGAGAGGAGGAAGTCGTGGTCAGGGAGTGGGAAGGAAAGCTGTGGGGGAGGCCGGCGGAACCCTGGGGGGGCAGGGCAGGTATGCGCTCCCTCCTGCTGAGGCTGCAGCGGGACAGGACAGGTGGCCGGGACTCAGAGTTGGGGACAGGAGTGGGGACGCAGAGCAGGCCTTTCTTCCTGGCCCAGGCCGAGAAAGCCCCTGCATTGGAGCACCCCCTGGCTTGACCTCACTCCGTCTCCTGGAATCCCAGTTAGCAGTCAGCCACCCTGCGGTGGATGGCCAGGAAACGTCACCTCGGGAAGCCAGGAAGTGGATCCTACACACCAGGAAGTGGTTCTCCAAAGAGGCTCCTCCCTGGCAGTTGGTAGTGGTACGGCGCCCTCCTCTGAGGGTTCGGCTCCGGCCCCCCCCC